CATGTCCAACCCGGACTAGCTCTTCCCACCCGAACATCTGCACACCAATAACACAGCTTCCAGAGCAAACTCCAAAGGAGATCCCATCTCATTCCCTATTTGCGCTGTGACCTTGGGTTCCTAGCCTTCATGTGCAATAAGGGTTCATGAAAAGGGGAGAAGATGAATCACCTAAATTAGTATTTATTGAACCAGATATTGTGCTAGGCACTTTTAAGTAAATTAGCTTGAGTGATAGTTCAATATCCCCAGGAGACAGATTGTATACCTTTCTACAGAAGAAGAGACTGTAGCCCACAGCAAATCACAATGCTGACCAAGGTCACAATTCTGGAAGATTTGGGGGAAGTGATAGTATCATAGGCTACATTGGTGGAGCTGGGGGGGGTAGGGGAAGCTGGGCTAGTAATCCTAGCTACTCAAGAGGCTGAGACCTGAGGATCACAATCTGAAGCTAGCCCAGGCAAGAAAATCTGTGATTCTTATCTCCAGTTACCCATTGTAAAGCTGGAAGCAGAGCTGTGGCTCAAGTGGTAGAGCACCAGACTTGAACAAAAGAGCTGAGGGACAGCGCCCAGGCCCTGACTTCAAGCCTCAGTACCAGGCCAACAACAAAAACAATAACAAAAGGGCATACAGGTCTCTTTGTGCCCTAAACAATGAGGATTTCCTTTGAGCCACAGCCTTTTCTAGCCTTAGGTCGCAACAGACCAGCACTGTTAAGCACTGTATTTGACCTCATTGTGCAAGCCCTTTGAGGTCCCCCATCCACACCAACAGATGGTGACAGTGGTCTCAGGCATTCCTCTGAACCTTTGTGTTAAAACATTTTGTTGGTGGTGGTGGTCTTGGGGCTTGAACTCAGGGCCTGGGCACTGTCCCTGAGCTTTTGCACTCACTAGCCCTTTAGCACTTTAAGCCATAGCTCCACTTAGAATTTTTGAGTGGATAATTGGAGATAAGTGTCTCAAGGACTTTTCTCCAGGCTAGCTGTGACCAGCCATCCTCAGATCTGAAGCCTCCCAAGTAGCTAGGATTACAGGCATGAACCACCAGAGCATTTTTAAATGCTTAAAGCATTAAAAAGAAATATGTCATGTCTGGGAGGTGCAAGTCCTATTTTCTTTTTCTTTCTTTCTTTATTTTTTGCAATACTGGGATTTGAACTGAGGGCCTTGTACTTTCTAGACAAGTGCTCTATCACTTAAACCATGTTCTATCCTGAGTCTCCCCATTTTCAAGATGATAAAAATTGAAGTTCAGGGCTAGAGCGGTGACTGAAATGGTAGAGTACCTGCTTAACAAGCACGAGGCCCTGAGTTCAAATCCCAGCACAGTTCAAAGTGACTCAAGTCCCATATAGTGCCATTCCTTAAAAGAAGGATAATGGTTGCCCTTGGAGCCATTTGGACATGGCTCTCCCCTGGGAGGCCAAGCAGTAGCATTGTGGGGGAACCACAGACATGCCCAGCAGATTGGGTCCTGAGCTTCTGATACACTCTTGCCATTCCAGAGGGGGAAAAAACCAACAACCACATACTAGAGTCCAAAAGAGGGGAGGTTTTAGAAAATAATCTTTTAGACTGGGTAGAAGAGAGAAATCAGGAGCTCCTCAGAGGCAGAAAGTTACCTTTGCTTTGTATCCCAGTGCCTAGGAGAGTTTCAGGGACATAGTTGGTACTCAATAAAGAAATGCCTGTTGAATTGGAAATCTGGAGGCAAGGGGATTTAACTTGAGAGAGTTTAGAATGGAGACACAAGAGGGAGACAATCTAGAGAGAAAGGCTTCAGGGGAGGGACTCCAGACATGTGGCCCTGGTTCTCTTATTCCAAGCCTTTGGGAAATCCTCCAGAGAAACAGGGTGCTGTGGCTTTAAATGACTTCAGCATTGTCAATGAATCTGCTCTGCTAAAAGAGTTATCCTCTTGCTCTTGGCCTCCCCCTCCTCTCAGCTCCCCAAACCCTTCTCTGCTGCTGTGATGGGATAATTAGATGCGAGAGCTCAGCACAGATGATGCTCCAGTTGCTTAGCAACTAATGGTTTCCATGGAGACCAAAAAGCACAGCCTCCAGAGCAGCCAGTGAGCAGCTCGGCAGGGCAGAGAGAAGAAGCAACTCTGCTTCTCCAGAAACCTGGGGAGGGTTGGGGGGGGGTAAAGACGGTGGGGGGGGTTGGAGGGAAAGGAGAGGGCTTAAAGGCACAGGGTCCTCAATCCCTTTAAAATCTGGTCAGAGATCTGCCCTCTTCTACCCCACCCGTCATACTCCTAATTTCAGATAGGGATGGGTGCTTAAGAGTGGACCCAATAGGGCTGGGAAGGTGGCTCAGTGGTAGAGCACTTGCCTTGAATGCATGAGGCCCTGGGTTCTATTCTTCAGCACCACATAAGCAGAAAAAGCCAGAAGTGGCATTGTGGCTCAAGTGGTAGAGCACTAGCCTTGAGCTGAAGAGCTGAGGGACAGTGCCCAGGCCCAGAGTTCAAGCCCCATGACCGACAAAATAAAAAAAGAGAGAAGAGTGGACCCAATGCAACCTGCCTGCAATAAATACAACCTCTTCTCCTGTTTGCTTCCTGGTCTGACTGAGTGGGAAGAGATCCCTCCTAAGCCCTAAGCCACGTGAAACATCCTTCTTGGTGGGCATAGGGTTTGAGAAATGCCAGGAAGATCTCCTAGCTCTGACATTCCGCCCATTCAGTCTGCTCTCTCCAAGGTCTTTGTATTTGAAAATGTGTAGTGGGGGTAAGATCTGATCTAAAAGGGACAAAAGCCAAGGAACCAGAAAAACAAAGTAATTCTCTACCCAAAGGCAGACCCATTCTGGCAGCCTGGGGGAAAATACCTGACTCCAATCTCCATCGTAGGAGACTGTGTGTGTGTGTGTGTGTGTGTGCTGGTGCATGCATGTACATACATGCATAGCTGCATGACACACATGCACGCTTGCATACGTAGAGAAAACAGCTGGCACCTCCAGGTGTGTGTGTCTCAGACCAGCAGGCTCCTGAGAAATGCAGAAATTCAGGCTTTACCTCAGATCCTCTGAATTAGATATGGCATTTTAATAAGATCTCAGTGATTCCTATACTTTAAATTTCATCAGTAACTCAAAAGGCTGAGATCTAAGGATTATGGTTCGAAGCCAACCTAGGAGGAAAGTCCATGAGACTCTTATTTCCAATTACCCAGGGGGGGAAAAAAAGCTGGAAGTAGAGTTATGGCTTAAGTGGTAAAGCATAAAGCTAAAGAATAATGCCCAAAGCTGGGTGCTGGTGGCTCACGCCTGTAATCCTAGCTACTCAGGAGGCTGAGATCCGAGGATCATGGTTCAAAGCCAGCCTGGCAGGAAAGTCCGTGAAACTCTTATCTCCAATAAACCACCAGAAGTGGCACTGTAGCTCAACTGGTGGAGCGCTCACCTTGAGCTGAAGAGCTGAGGGACAGCGCCCAGGCCCAGAGTTTAATCCCCACGACCGACCAAAAAAAAAAAAAAAGAAGAATGCCCAGAGTTCAAGCCCCACAACTGGAGAAGCTCTGAGACCTTTTTACCCAATGCCTGAGCCCCTGAGATCTATCATTACCCTAACCCCCACCTCTCACACTCTAGGCTTTGAAAATGCACTTTGAACCATGGAGGTACACACCCTATCAGCACTCACTTTCCCACCAGGATTTCTCTGCAACTAGGGAAGAAAGAATGGCTCTGGCCGGGCGCTGCTTTTTCTTTTGCTAGTACTGGGACTTGAACTCAGGGTCTTGTCCTCTGAGCTTTTCCTACTCATGGTAGTATTTTACCACTTGAGTCCCACCTCCAGTCCAGCTTTTTTGCTGGTTAATTAAGATGGAGTCTCACAGCCCAAGCTGACTCTGAACCATGATCCTCAGATCTCAGCCTCCCAAGGAGGTGGGATTATAAGGATTGAGAGTATAGCCATCCGAACTGAGCAATCGCCCTACTTGATACAATGACTGCTGGTCTGAGTCACAAGTTTCTACAACTACAAAAGCCAGCCAGGAATATCCATTGCTCAGGGTGACTACAGGTTAAGTATACAGGGGTCCATCCAGGGTCTGGAGTAAAGGCAGCCATACTTCTTTCCTCTTCCCTCTTTGCAACTCCTCTTTTCCTTTTATTAAATGGAACCTGGGAAAGGGAGATGGTCAGAAACATTGTATTTTCCATTTTCTCTTATCACGTCTCTCTCCCTTTTGTTCTGTGGTGCTGGCCATGGAACCCAGGGCCTCAAGCATGATAAACAGGTGCTCTCCCCCTGAGGTACACCCTCAGCTCCCAACCTCTGCAGTTATTTTGTGATAAGGTCTCACTGTGTGCAAAAGTCCTGCCTCTGCCCTCTGAGCTTTCTCTTCTTTATTCTAATCAGTTTAATGTTTGTTCCCCAACCCCTCAAGGCTGATTGTGCTCACCCTACACCCCTGCTTCAAATGGGCCTGTGTCTACCTCTCTTAGTGTCTCCCTGGCCGCCCCTGACCCCACCCTGCGGAGGAATCTGCAGGCCTGCAGTCACCCCCAATCTCTCCCAGAGCAGCAGTTCTGGGCCACAGTCAACACCAAGAACTGTAACCCTTGGCTCTACCAGGCCCCCACCCCCTTCTAGCATTCTCCTCTCCCATTCTTACCCAGCAAAATCCTTTCTGGAGTCCCTTGGTTGTTTTCTGCACCTCAAGGTAATTGCAAAACCACCACTACCAGAGGGCAGCAGCATTGCGGGCATACTTCCCCCCCCTTCACTGCCTTGGGCCTCAGAGTCTCAGGAGGTGATCTAGCTACTCGTGGAGCTGGCTAAGCTGTCCGTGTCCAGTCCAGGCACCCTCCCCCAACCTTTCCTGGCCCGAGGGCCAGCTCCTCATCTTGAAGAACCTGTCTGGGGGCCCTCCCCAAGGCTATTGGGCCCAAGGGGCAGGTTGGACTGGATTCTCCTCCTGCCCCTCCCATCGTCAAGACAAAATCAGCCACCCCAAGACAGGGCCTCATTTGCCTCAGGAAGCTCCTGCCCTGCCCAGCACCTGTTCCAGGTTCCAGCTTCCAGCCCAGCATGGCATCTCCGATGCCTATCCAGACCTTGCCCTCCATCCTGATTCTGCTGGCAATCTTGGCTCCAGGAGCTGCAGGTCTCTGCAATGTTGGGGGTAGGGGGTATGGGGGGGGAGTTCAAAGGTCTAGACAAGGGCCCTGAGCTTTCTTCCATGGCTCTCAAAGGGGGTCTGGCTGGTTAGGAGTGGGGCTGGTGATGGCAGGCCCAAGAAGATAGAGAAAGGAAAAGTGGGAGAGGGACCGAGGCTCAGGGCAGGGGTGAGGTTGGGCACTGCCTGGCTCCTGGAGTCCAGGGTCTGGCTCCCAGGCAACTCAGGGGAGTAACCTAGCTTCTGTAGCCCAAGTCTGCCACCTGGTGGTCAGACTCCCAGGCTCGGCTGCTCTGCCAGCACTGCAGAGGGGAGAAGACAAGACTATATACCCTTAGCAAAGGCCCCAAGATGTAGACAGATCTGATGACTACCGGAGAGCTCATCTCCATCTGAGCTCCTTCCTGGCCTCGCTACAGAATTCAACATCTCCAGCCTCTCTGGTCTGCTGTCCCCAGCACTAGCGGAAAGCCTGCTAGTTGCTCTGCCCCCCTGTCACCTCACCGGAGGCAATGCCACACTGATGGTCCGGAGAGCCAATGACAGCCAAGGTCTGCCACCCTCTCCCCAGGTATCCCTCTGGTCCCCAAGTCCCCTTCCTAGGACCATAGGACCACTCCTCCCCTCACCCCCCAGTATTCCTTCCCTCACTCGTTTCCCACTCCCCCCCCTTGCCCTCTAGAAGCTGTCCTTTCTCTGTGGGGCCCTCCAGAAACCTGACCCTGCCTTTTGCTCCCCATTTCCTGCCCAGTGGTGAAGTCCAGCTTTGTGGTCCCTCCATGCCGTGGACGCAGGGATCTGGTGAGCGTGGTGGACAGTGGAGCTGGCTTCACCGTCACCCGGCTCAGTGCATACCAGGTGACAGACCTCGTGCCAGGAACCAAATACTAGTAGGTATCTGACCCAGGCTTGGGCACCTGTGAGAGGAGTGCCAGGGAAGCTGGGATGTAGGGTTGGTCAGCCTGCGGAAAGAGAGAGCATGTGAAGTAGAGGGTACAACGAAGGGGCATGGCTATGAAGGTGGGGGACCCTGGCTTGGTCTTTTCTCTCCATGTCCCAGATATACACTGAGGGTTCTGTACTCTCTTGCTCTCTCTCCCAACCACCTACTCCCCCCCCCCCAGCATTTCCTACCAAGTGCAGAAGGGGACAACTACGGAGTCCAGCAGAGAGATCCCGATGTCCACCCTTCCTCGTAAGTGCACTCCAACCACCTTCACCGTTCCTGACACATACCCTCAACACCTTGCTTACCTCCCTCCTAGTGCTGAGTGTGGGACTGAAGACTCATCTATGCTCCAGTGAACTAAGGTCCCTCATTGACAGGGATGGTACCCTAATAACTCGTGTGTGTGTGCCTGTCCTTGAGCTTTTTATTGTTGTTGGTCATGGGTCTTCAACTCTGGGCCAGGGTGCTGTCCCTGAGCGCAGCTCAAGGCTAGTGCTCTACTACTTGAGCCACAGTGCACCTCCGGTTTTCTGGTGGTCAGTTGGAGTTAAGAGTCTTACCGACATTCCTGCCCAGGCTGGCTTTGAACTGTGATCTTCAGATCTCAGCCTCCTGAGTAGCTAGGATTATAGAAATGAGCTACTGGCACCCAGCTTTGTCCCTGAGCTTTTTCCACTTAAGGCTACCATTTGTGTCCCAGCTCCATTTCTGGCTTTTTGGTGGTTAACTGAAGATAAGAGTCTCATGGACTTACTGCCCTGGACTGGCTTTGAACTGTAATGTTCAGATTGCAGCCTCCTAAGGGGCTAGGATTTCAAGCGTGAGCCACTGATGCTGGCCCTCTAATAATTGCTGAATTCTCAGTGACAGGGTCTCCCTAAATGCAGGTGTGAGGAGTCATTGGGCCCAGTGGTTGACTGGCCAGTTAGATGTTAACAGATGAATGAGCTACTAGTTAAGTGCCTGAATGAGAGCTGTGAGTCCGAAGGAGATAAAGGATCCTCCTGCCCACCACAGCCTCCCCCTTTCCTTCTGACAGGAAAGAGTATGGAGTCCATTGGGCTGGGAATGGCCCGAACAGGGGGCATGGTGGTCATCACGGTGCTGTTGTCTGTCGCCATGTTCCTGCTGGTTGTGGGCCTCATCATTGCTCTGGCACTGGGCGTCCACAAGTGAAGAGCCTGCCTGCATGGTGACCAAGTCCAGTACAGTCTCTGTCCCCAGAGGCCTCCTCCCAGGCCTCAGCCACCTGCTTTCCTCTCCCGGCTTTCCATCTGCGCTCTGTCCTTCTTGGGGGTCCCCTACGTCTCACCTTCCAACACTCCCTACCATTCCCCTCCCCACTACTGTCAGCCATCTTTCCTCCCATCTTACCCACTCTACCCTCATAACAATCTCCTCCTCCCTTTGTGACCTTGGGTAGTTATAATAAAGGCTGACCTCCACACCTTGTGTCTCCCTTAATTAAGTCCCCTAAAGTGTGGACCTATATGTTTCCTTCCTACCCCAAGGCCCAGACTGGATCTTCTTATGAGGGAGGCAGGCAGGGGAGAGGAGAGGAGAGGAGAGAACCAAAACGCACATGAATCAAGGTTTATTCAATTCTTTGGCAGTGCAAGAACATTAGTTCTGTATCATTAGTCAATTCTATTATTGATCTTTGTTATGTAAACATAAATATAAATATACACATACATATACATATAAAATTTGAATTTTTAGAAACTAGTTGTATTGTCAACTTTGGAAAAAGTATTCTAGTTTACTGTGTTAGCATTGTACAGAAATGAACAACCATATTGACAAAGGAACTTTAAACTGCACTCACTGCACTAAATATGTAAGGTCTCATCTCTGTGGGTTTGATTACAGAAACTAAATGTATTCACTAAATAGTAATTTAAAAATTCAATAAAAAATAAGTATAGTTGGGCGCCCATGGCTCAAAAAAAAAAAGTATATAGGACAGAAACAAAAAGAGCCAGGGCTGTAACTCAGTGCTAGAACACTTGGCCACACCTGTGTGATGTTCTGGGTTCTATTCATGGCACTGTATGAGAAAAAAAAAAGTAACATTATAAATCCCTCTGGGCTTGGGCACTGTCCCTCAGCTCTTCAGCTCAAGGCTAGCGCTCTACCACTTGAGCCACAGTGCCACTTCCGGCTTTTTTTTTCTGCTTATGTGGTGTTGAGGAATTGAACCCAGGGCCTCATGCATGCAAGGCAAGCACTCTACCACTGAGCTACCTTCCCAGCCCGCATTATAAATCACTTTAAAAAATAAAAATATGCGGGGTGGGGAGGGGAAAAATAAATAAAATAAAAATATGCAAAATCTATACCAAACATGGAAAGAAAATCATTAATTAAATTTAATAAATATATCTGAACAACAAAAAAAAGTATGTTTTGGAACCTGGTAGCTCCTGGGTCAGAACAGGTTCTGAGAAGTCCTAACACCACTACCATTTGACAGTGGTTATAGGAAAAAATGAGATATAAACTTCAAGATGGAAGCTAGGCCTAAAAGACATGTACATACCTACAGGGCCCCTTAACATACATTTGGATAAACACAGAACATAATCCAAGGGACTACTTAGGGAGAGGGAAGAAAAAAAAGAAAAGTTTTTTGCTTTTCTTTAGTATGTGTGTATGTTGGTACTAGAGCTTGAACTCAGGGGCTAGGTGCTGTCCCTAAGTTTTTTTGCTCAAGGCTGGTGCTCTACTTTTGTGTGTGAGCCATTGATACCTAAATTTAGTTTTTAATAATTTCAAATTTCCAGAAAAATAAATAAAAAAACTCAAGCCGGGTACCTGTGGCTCATGCCTATAATCCTAGCTTCTCAGAAGGCTTAGATCTGAGGATCGTGGTTCACAGCCAGCTTAGACAGAAAAGTCTCTGAGACTCTTATCTCCAATGAATCACCAGGACACCGGAATGTAGCTCAAAGAGGTAGAGTGCTGGCCTTGCAGGAAAAGGGCCTAGGTCCTGAGTTCAAGCCCCGGGACTGACACACAAAAAAACAAAACAACAAAAACACCACAATTGGGGAAGCTTAGCGGTAGCTCAAAAAGCAAGCATGGCTGGATGGCTTGATCCCCGACACCTTGAACAAGCATGATGATAATAGGAAACCTCACCGCAGCCAGGCAAACGAAATCACCTTAACCCTCCCTCTACCACCTGCCTAGGTGAGATCCTAGCTAAGCTGCGTAAAACCTGTGGGGCCGAGAACGTGGTTCCTCCCCTCCCACGATCCGCGGGCCTCTGTGGGCCGTGGCGGTGCCCGGGCTGGCGGCGGCGG